GGGGGGGTTTAGGGGGGTGAAAATGGGTTTGGGAGACCCCAAAACTGGGGGGGGGGTTGAAGGGTTTAGGGGGCTGAAAGACACCAAATCTGGGGGGTTTGGGGGGGACCCCAAATCTGGGGGGTAAAAGGGGGTTGGGGGGCTCCCAAAATTAGGGGGGGACACCTGGGTTGGGGGACCCCAAAATTGGGGGGGTTTGGGGGGGTGAAAATGGGTTTGGGAGACCCCAAAATTGGGGGGTAAAAGAGGATTGGGGGGCTCCCAAAATTGGGGAGGGCACAAGAGTTGGAGGGGACCCCAAATTTGGGGGTTTTGGAGTGAAATTGGGTTTGGGGGGCTCCCAGAATTAGGAGGGGGGGCAGGTTTTTTGGGGAGACCCCAATATTTGTGGGGAACCTCAATATTTTGGGGGGGAGTCCTAATATTTGGGGGTGACCCCGATACTTGGGGGGTCCCAGGTTTTTTTGGGGGGGACCCCAATATTTAGGGGGAACCTCAATATTTAGGGGGAACCCCAATATTTTGGGGAGGACCCCAAAATTTAGGGGGAACCCCAATATTTGGGGACAATTCCAATATTTAGGGGAAACCCCAATATTTAGGGGAAAACCCCAATATTTGTGGACAACTCCAATATTCGTGGAGTCCCCATTTTTCCGGGGGGGGTCCCCAACATTTTGGGGGGTCCCTGGATTTTTTGGGGGGTCCCCAAACGCCCCCTTTTCCCTCCCTTCCCCCCCCCAGAACAGCGCCCGGTACCTGCAGCAGGAGCTTCCGGTCAGGATCGCCCACAGGATCCAGGGATTCCGGAACCTTCCCTTCATCATCGGCTGCAACCCCACCATCCTACACGTGGTGAGGCCCCAAAAACACCGGGGGGACCCCAAAATTCACGGGGGGAGCCCCAAAATTCCCAGGGGGGAGCCCGAATTTATGGGGGGAGCCTGAATTTATGGGGGGAGCCCGAAATCCCGGAGGGGAATCCGGGGATTCCAGAACCTTCCTCGGGGGGTGCAGCCCCCCCCACCCTGCACGGGGGGGGTCTGGGGGGACCCCGAAATTAGGGGGGTCCCCAATTTTGGGTGCTGACCCTGTTTCCCTCCCCCAGCACGAGCTGTACATCCGGGCCTTCCAGAAACTCAGTGACTTCCCCCCGGTGAGCGACACCTGAGGGGCACCTGGGGGGCACCTGGGTCATGTGGGTCACTTGGGGGTCACCTGGGTCACCTGGGGGTCACCTGGGGGTCACCTGGGTCACCTGGGTCATGTGGGTCACCTGTCCCAGTCTCACCTGTCCCATTTCACCTGTCCCAGTCTCACCTGTCTAAGTCCCACTTGTCCCACCTGTCTCAGTCTCACCTGTCCCATCTTACCTGTCCCAGTCTCACTTGTCCGACCTGTCCCAGTCCCACCTGTCCCAGTCTCACCTGTCCCCTTTCACCTGTCCCAGTCTCACCTGTCCCAACTGTCCCAGTCTCACTTGTCCGACCTGTCCCAGTCTCACCTGTCCCAGTCTCACCTCTTCCAGTCTCACCTGTCCCATCTCACCTGTCCCATCTCACCTGTCCCATCTCACCTGTCCCAGTCTCACCTGTCCAAGTCCCACTTGTCCCACCTGTCCCAGTCTCACCTGTCCCATCTCACCTGTCCCATCTCACTTGTCCCACCTGTCCCAGTCTTACCTGTCCCATCTCACCTGTCCCATCTCACTTGTCCCACCTGACCCAGTCTCACCTGTCCCAGTCTCACCTGTCCCATGTCACCTGTCCCAGTCCCACCTGTCCCACCTGACCCAGTCTCACCTGTCCCAGTCCCACCTGTCCCCTCTCACCTGTCCCAGTCTCACCTGTTTCACCTGTCCTATCTCACCTGTCTCACCTGTCCCAGTCCCACCTGTCCCAGTCTCACCAGTCTCACCTGTGTCAGTCCCACCTGTCCCAGTCCCACCTGTCTCACCTGTCCCATCTCACCT